AGCGCTTCTTCAATTTTCCCTTACACCATAGATGGTGTTTCGTCAGAGAGTAGAAACATCGGGTTTTTAAATTTTAGTCGGCTTTCCATATATGGTTTGTCAAGGGAATATTGCACGTTCACAATGCAGGTTGGTTTGCGGATAAAAATTTACTGTACGCCAGTTGCAGAAACATACCCCAGAGTGCTTTACGTCTGCTTATTTGGTAAGTCCGGCGGACTGGTCATTTTTGGCTTTCGGCCATTAGTTTCGAAATGTTTAGTGTCCGGATTACTCACCAGTCGTAAATCTAGACGAAGACTTCCCGCGGAATGCAACGTCGCCTACCTTGTCCGTATTTTGGGGAATGAGTGTTCATGCTAAAATACCATCCGGTGGGAGCACCTTAGAATGCGGTTGACCGCATTAACGTTTATGCTATAATTCATAGTGACCGGTGGGATTCGAACCTACGCAGTAAGGGGAAGGCTTTAATACAGCCAACGCTCTAACCACGTGAGCTACGAGGCCCCGCCGGACAACACGAGTTTATGCTATAAGCAATAAATAATTCCTCGCAGCCGATTGTAGAACGTGATTTCACTGTTTATTAAGATTCCGGTCTGCCAGATTAATACGTAGGATAGGATTTGGGGGAAACCGACACTGTAAATGTTAGGAAGGATGGTTTGGCTTTATTTTAGCCTTAAAAGTTACCAAACTAGCAGCATAGGTGCTATCTAAAAACCCAGACAGGCATGCTTCGCCGATATTCTGTCGCTGCATGGCACAGCTGAGAAGGGGTTCCGGCATTGCCCGACTGCTTTCTGGTAGATACTCCAGTTTAGAAATCTCCGCTTTCAATATCCTCAGAAGTTAACTGCCTACCTGTAGTAGATCAGTATATGCTAAGGTCTATAGGAGCAGATCGAAATTTGATGTATGAATATTTGGCCGAATTCCACCATCGGCAGCAGTTGCGGCAGAGACACGACGAACTTTGCTAACACCCATGGTGTCGGTTTTGTGCCCTTTCGGGACATGTACACGGAAGTTGAACAAACGGGTGCGCAAGGTTTTGGAGGAGGGGAAGGCGATCTAGCCTCTCATTGCTGGAGGAGATGGAGAAGGAGATATGGCAGATCAGTGAAACCGCAGGCGGTTGAGTTAGCGGTCACTGATCTGGAATGGGAGTGGGAGCCAGTGAGCTCTGTTTGCAAACCCCTGTATTGAGTGTCAAAATCAATATGGCGGCTGAAACTGCTCGTGCTGGAGTACCACGCTTCGGAACATTTCCTCCACCGTTTTATAAGATCATGGCGACAAAGTAAGTATCCCCGAAAGTGAGTCAATGGTCCCCCTTGACAGCGAAGGAAAAAACGAAGGACAACTAATTTTTTGTTTGTTCGTACTCGTATTATGACTTCTAGCCTTAACCCCATTTTCATGATACACTTGGTGGTTCTTTTGTTTGCAACATTTTTTTGCACGTATCGGGAATATAAGGGAAGTTTGCTGTTTACTCAATGATTTTAACTTAGTTGAACTCCCTTGACTTTCAAAATTCCTTCACTGGCAGTTGGCCCAACGTCGTTAACCCAAAAACGGTCCCAATAGGCCTTGTATACTTTGTAGGAAACTCTCGAGGGAGATCTTTAAAGTCACTGATGTCAAAAGATTATTTTGAAATCACTACTAAACTTCATCTGAAGCACTTTTGACACAATATGCTTTCGTTCTGATTTCTGATCAGAATTTTGATGTTGACGTTGCATTGTGGACCACTTAATTTAAATTCTAACTTTTGGACCCAGCTCGATCGGACAGACTGGATTTTTCATCCAATTAACGTCGGTTCCACTTTTTGAAACCCGTCAAAAATGTCCGTAGACAGTCGATTCTATCAGGCCTGGGTGGTTCCTTTCCTCGGCAGATAACGTCTTGGATTTGTCCGATAATTTGGTGACCATAAAATGTTGACTAAATTTCCTCGGCTCAGATAAGCTGCCTGATATTTTAAATATTCAGTAGGTGGGCTAACTCATGAGATCTCGGCAGAAATGCCCACATGCGTTTCCGCTTCGAAAAGATTAATTAAGCAGGGTTGTAAAACCAATCATCATGCAGCATGATTCTATAATACTTCAGTTACCCCAGGATGCCGTCTTACGAATAAACTTATTTTCGGCTGCATCCAAAAACCATTCTCCATAAAAATGCCTACTTAAATAGCATACATTTTTCATTGATTTTCGATGCCTTATAAATTCAATTATATTTCATGGAAATCACACACAAATACATTCATTCTTTTGCTCATTCAATAGAAAATTACGTCTTCTTTCAATTGTACACTCGAAAGAAGAGTATAATTCGGCTTTAAAACGTTTCTAATAGGGCCATTTTTTAATACCGTGAAATGGCCGTTTATAAAATGTCATGTCTCTGCGTTTAACAATGTGGCTTATTAAGTTAACAATGTGGCTTAAATTCACTGCTTAATTTTAAGAACCTCATATGATCTCCTTTTAATATGGAAGACAAATGTATAGTTTTCCGTACGCGAAAATTATACGGCTTGTAGTTTGGTAACCCTAAATGCAAGTGTGACTGCAAGTCGTGTTCCAAATTATTCGGGAAGTGGAA